TTTACGTTTGCTTTATATTAAGGTGTTTTGGACGACCCACAGTGTGGGGGGGGGGGTGTATTTTGGGGGTGTAAATCCACTTTTACATTCCTTTTACACTTCCGGAGGGTGTAAATACGTTTTTTGCTCCAATAAGAAACGATGTAAATCTAAGATGTATAATTTTCCCTCTCTTTTCTCGGGCGGGTCCCTCTTGCAAAATATGTAAAAATAGATGTAAATGTACATTTTATTTTACATCTCCATGGTTGTGATGTATATTTACATCCCTTTACATCTTTCCATTGGAGACGATTTCGGTAACAAGGGGTGTATATTTAACATATACCCTCATATACACTCTCCCATTGTGGATGCTCTTAGAATTCTCCTTATTTTAAGAGCTAGATAAGGAGCATGATTGGAGTTGTTTTTTGTTTATTTTTATTTTTTATTTTTTACATTCTCTCTAAATTCAACTTACAAGGCAAATAAGATGTTAATTAACTCTCGGCCCGTTTTAGTATGATTGAAATTCGGAATTGATAAAAATCTCACCTATGATTTAAATTAAACGGATTTGTCATATGGATCATCCATCAATATATAAACAAGCTGATGACATGGATGAATGATGCGGCAGATGGTGGGCAAGCTAGGCATTGCAAGACGCAAGCCGGCCAGCAAAGGCAAATGTACATGTGGAGCTCCCTAAATTGTGGAAACCAGACAGATTTAAATATACATAAAGACAATAATTTGCAGACATGGAATGGAAGACGACCTTTGAAATGCTCTCTCTCGAAACCCTTGGCCGTGTTTGGTGGGCTAGATAGGACTATAGTCCATTTTAATTGAAAAAATCCAGTTCAGTCCGGCTCACCAAATAGAGCAACTCATATATACAGTTGTCTATATATATCTCTTGTGCCTTCATTTTACAAATTTTAGACCACACTCTTCATTTGTTTGTTTAATTTAGAGCATCTTTTATTAATGAATTAATTAAAGCTTAAGCTAGCTAGTTGTTAATGTAGGAGAGAACAATACAGGCAGCTTGCTGTGTTAATTATTTGTTAATTAACAATATAAACACCTTTATCGGTGCATATTAAGATTATTCCCAGTCTAATCGGTGCAGATAAATTAAAAAGATACCTTTATTATGTTTTTATTATCTGAAAGATAACTTTGTTTTAATTAACGTGTCCAAAGAGAATACGATATTTGCAGTTAGGGACTTAACCAAGTTTTTTTTTTCTTTTTTGCTTAGAAAGAGATATTCTCATTCCAAAAGCACATGTAAAGTCATGCCAATCAAAATACACAAAGCCGAAGCCTCACATCATCAAACAAGTAACAAATCTAAAGGGAGCAAAACAACTTCCTAGTAAAATGATAATGTAAGAACGAAATCCCACAGCTGGTACGGAGGCGCAAGGAGATCATCCCTCGACAAAATACGCACCAGTGAGGGAGGGGGTCTAGAGACCAAAACTTGATGGCTCACCCTCAAATCGGCTAAACTAGCAGCAACATGAACTTAGCCAAATTAATTAGAGCAAATGTGTACTAGATTAAAGTATAGAATATCGTTTATATAAAATATATATATATATATATATAATTACATCATCTTGAACTCAAGCGCAAGGCCTGTAGCATCCAGTTAAAGCTCATTGAAAGGGGAATGGAGACTCCACCGTCCCCATCACTTTAGAATATTTCCGTCAGCTAAATGGAGTTCCATGCATGCAATTGTCAAATGAGTACGTAGCATATTCTATCTGCCTTTTCCTTTCCTTTTTATAAATTGCAAAGCTAATTGACAGAAATGATGCTTCCATTGGATTTGGACATTTGGCCTGATCAGAGCAGATGCCACATACAACCAAGGATGATATAATATTTCAAGTTTTCAAATGAGCTCAGATTTTCTGTTTGTCTTCTCTCTGTCCACACGGTTCTTAAGTTACTCATACCGTGTACACAGTTAATTTTATAATTTGTTGTTCTTACCTCATTCACTAAAAGTAAACCACCTAACAGTTTAATTGACCCATATGCTTTATATAGTCTAGCAATTGGGATGTTTTGATTCTACAGTAAAAAACGAATCTGGAGGTTTTGGTTTCCTCAAAATAGCCTTCTCTTTTTGTATAATTGTTTTCTATTCCAACTTCATACTACAATATGTGTTTTGTTTTTCAATTTTTACATTGAGGACATCATATCCTTCTTGTTTGCATGTATGATTCATATTACACTTATAACGAAAGAGTAATGTGATTTGAAAACGTGATGCTTTAGCACTTTTCTTAACCGAAAAGTAGCTAACAAGGCCAAATAACAGGTACATTTTTGTTGTTGTTGTGTGTTTTTGATGATTTGATCAAGGGCAAAAGAATAGAAGGAAAAAAAAAAGGAAGCCACCAAGAAACAGCTCACTATATGAGAGTTTACATTTCCCTTTGATTCCATGGAAAGAGGGATTTTTCTTTAGTCGCACACGGACAACTCACAATTCCACTCCCCCACGTTTATTACTCTCCTTGACTCCATCAAAACGCGGAGGAGTTGGTCCTACACTTGGCCCATAACTCCTCCAAATTACCGAAACACCCTTGCCCGCCCGCCAAAATCCCCACCATCTCCCTATATTCTAGAGTACTTGCCTCCTAAGAAATCGAATCTTCCTCACCCCAAATAAAACCGCCTCCTCCTCAAACCAAAATCAAACCAAACCCAGAAAAGCAGAAGGCAGGGAAGAGCTCTCTAGAGAGAGAAACTGAAAGATAAAATGGTGGGCAAGAAGAGATGGTTGTTCTTTAAGAGGATGAAGAAAGAGTCATGGAGTTTGAGGTGGAAGTACTTGGGGTCTGCCTTCAAGTTTAGGCCGCTGAATCTGCAGCTGTCGTTCTATGACGATGTGATTTTCAAGATTGTTTCTGCGTTTGAGGCTATAGTTTTGCTGCTCAGCGTCTGTTTCTTCTACCTCTTCTGCGGATGCAAGTTTTGAGGCTTTGGTGTCCGTCTGTTTCTCTCTGACTCTTTTATTTAATTGTTTGGTTTTCTCTAAGTTGCTTCAAAGAAGATTACAAATTGACAGAGAAAGTTGTTGGCTTACGGGTGGTTCAGCCATTGGGTTTCATCAAGTCTTCCTTAAAAATCTCTCTCAAGAGAAAGAAACAATCTGGGGTTTTGGGATTGGGATTGGGAGGATATGTCAAATGTGGGGTGGGATTTTGGGTAGGAGAGATTAAGCTAATTCAGCACAGTGGTTCTGTCATTTGTGCTTATGTTTATGTACAAAGTTAATTCTCAGTTTAACTTTTTTGCATAAATTCTGGCTTCTTTTTCTGCATATTAATTCAGAACATTAATTGGTTCTGTCATTTAAACAAATTCTGGGTTTTGAGATTTAGATGCCTTAGACTAACAATGGGAAAATATAATGGCATTGCCTCCATCCATGAGGTCTAAATATCCTAACATGGCTGGCCTAGAAAGATCTCCTGCATAAAGATTGAAGCTTTTCACCTGTTACAACTTCCAACTGGGAAAAGCTGTTTTCTTGTTCTTTTGTGTTTTTGCCCAATATATATCATCAACAAATCTAGTGGCATTAAGTTTAATTTAAGCAAACCGCTAGCAGTAAACCCTGCTGACTAATGATGCAATTATGCAGGAGTATTAGAACAAAGTATTGAGGACATAGATGAGGCAAAAGCCTAATTAACCTTTCTCGTCATGTTCTTAGTAGATCACTAATCAGATCCAAAAAGTTGAAAAGCAATGGCAAGTTGCGGAGCTGCGTGATTTACCTCCATGGAAGATGGGCTTATAGTCCTATCTGGGCTGAAAATTCTTGTTTGTGTTCTTTGGCAAATTGGCAAATGTGGAGAGAGATGGCTCCTGCTGTGCGTTTTGAAGAGGTGTGCAATTGCTATTCAAGAAAAATAAAATAAAATGGTTTTGGGTTTGTTGGAACGTGACGTCAATTCCGATTTTATTCATATTTATGTATAAATTCTATGCACCTTCAGATTTTATTGACAAAAATTATATCATGTTGGTCAATAAACATTTGAACTTAAATTTAGTGTTATTAGCATTATTCTATGGGACGCGGATCCTCTACTTGGTTTTTCTAAATAGAACACATGAGCTTTTCAATTGTCTCAATCTTGAGTCATAAATTAGGCTAAAATAAAATAAAATAAATCATATCATATGATAGTATTTAGGGTGAGGTGGCAGCAAAATTATCTTCTTCTGAAACATTTTATAGCTGCCACTGCCAGGTCGAGATGCAAGCCTCAGTCTGCATACAAACTTCACCATCCTCTCTTTCCAGTTTGAGACCTACCCACAACGCTCTTCTGGGTCACTCTCTGTCTTCAAGACCATGCTTGTCTCTCAAAAAAAGAGCGTCTTTGACCACCAGAGCACTTCTATCAACTACCAAGGAATCAGTCTTGAAGGACTTTCATGAACGCAGAGCTCTCAAGGTAAAGCAAATCCCAGTTATCATTATGTAACCTTTAGCATCACCTTGTGCTTTGTTTGGTTGTTTGATAAAACCATTGCTTCAATTTTACTTTAATGTTTTGTCATGTCTGTCCTAAAGCCTTACTCAACCAAACAGATGATTATGTTTAATGGTCTTTCTGCAATTTAATATCTGTGCCCTGAATCCTCATATCCAAGAATTTCTAATGTAGCTTTCCCTTACAGATTATTTCAGGTTTGCAGAATTTTGACAAAGAAAATGTTGCATCAGTCATCACTGCGGCAGAGCAGGTTTGATGAACTAATAATGAACTCTGCCATTAAAATATTTTGTTGTTGAGCCAAGTGATCAAAATTTGTTAGACCTGTTAGCATATCACTTTCCCTATTGTAAACTATCTCCTTTTATATGCTTTCTGGTGTTAAATTTCATTGAAGTTTCCAGCTAATGTTGAACTTTTTGGTCATTATGTCATGTGTCCTTGCACCGGTAGGGAGGAGCAACTCATGTGGATATAGCTTGCGACCCAGAGTTGGTGAAGCTTGCCATAGGTTTAACTTCTCTTCCAGTTTGCGTTTCATCTGTCGATCCAGCGGCATTTCCAGCTGCTGTTGAAGCAGGAGCACTGATGGTTCGACCGTAAACTAATCCCTTTCAGGCCAATAATTTTATTGTGTAACCTGATTCTCTTTCAAGGGAATGCTACATATTTAGTTTGACAAATTCACAATGTCCTTTTTCAGGTTGAGATTGGAAACTATGACTCATTTTATGAGAAGGGTGTGATTTTCACTCCAGAGCAGGTAAAACATTTGAGGTTCACCTTCCAAATTGTGAAAAGTATAGTGAGCAAGAATTCTTATCAGCTGTCTTTAACTGTTAAAGAAGTTTGTAAATAACTCTCTTTTCTAATTCTATCAAGTGCCTTTTCAGATATTAAATCTAACAAAGGAGACAAAGAGGATTCTTCCATCTGTGACCTTATCAGTCACCGTACCTCATACACTAAGCCTCCCAGATCAGGTCGCAAACAACATTGCCAAAAGTGAAAATATCCATATGCATGTAGGCACCATTAATTTAGTTTAACCAAGCTAGTTGAAACTTTGATCAACAGGTCAAGCTTGCAGAGATGCTAGAGCAGGAAGGTGTAGACATCATTCAAACAGAGGGAGGAAAATGTTCGAGTCCCTCAAAATCAGGCGTTCTTGGGTTGGTCGAGAAGGTAACACAGAGTGAAACCCATAAAAATCTGTACATTGAGAAAACAGAATAAAAGGGTAACTTGCAATTAAAGGTTTTCACATTATATCACAAGCAACTTTGACGATTTGGAAAGTTCACCTTGATAAAACTTAAGAAAGAATAAAAGCCTAGGTTCCATTCTGCATTAAGTTGATTATCATATTTCATATTCCAGGCAACGCCAACATTAGCAGCAGCATATTCGATATCACGGGCTGTCAAGATCCCCGTCATGAGTTCATCGGGACTGAGTGCAGTTACAGCACCAATGGCCATAGCAGCAGGAGCCGCCGGAGTGGTATGTACACAGTGAACCGGTTTCTGTTTCTCTAAGGAGCTCAACTTATACTAGGCATATTTCATCAATGACTGGTGTGCCTTGTTGTGCTAGTTTTTATTGTCAACATATTGAATTTTTGTATTATTCTTGAACACAGGGTGTGGGCTCTGCAGTGAACAAGCTCAATGATGTGGTTGCAATGATTGCAGAAGTCAGGAGTATCTCCAACTCATTAGGAGCACCAGCTGATAGGCGTGCTACTTCTGAAGGAAAAGTTTTGAAAATGTAATCCATAAGTTTATTTTCATAGGATAGGTGACCAAAAAATAGCGAGGTCTTTAGTGCTGTATACAGAGACATTGTTGGGATTGTTTCCAAATAAATAAGAGCAGTAGTTACCTTTCCTTATATACTTGGTCTTGGGACATTTTGGAAAAAGCAAAAGGAGAGAGAAAAATTTTAAAAGAAGCAAAAATGGACAAAAATGCCCTTATTTATTTTTAGATTTCCTAAGAAATCCAATACATTTGCATGTCTTTGATTTGAAAGTTGAGTGGTTTTTTTGTCTTTTTTGAAAAAGCTTTGGCTTTTTCCAAAAGTGAAAATTTTTTTATGTCTAAAATCTAAAAAACCTAAAAAAGAAAGAAGAAGAAGAGAGAGAGAGATGAAAACAAAATAGTGTTCTCACTAACCACATCAACCTTTTTTGGGCTAGGTAGACGACCAAAGATTGTTACTAATCAAGCACATATCTAGACAATAATTGTATCCAATGCTTGCCTGGGGCCAATTAAAACTAGAAGTTCCTAATAAGTACCAATTTGACTTGTCATCTTTCACTCATTTTAAGTACATACCAACTGTTAAAATCTGCACTCACTACTAAATCCAATTGTGAACGAATATAGACAAGAATGATACATGGATTGACAGCGACCTATAAATTGTATACACTTGTTTACTTCCACCATAGGGAACGTGATTTCTTAGGGAGACCAATCTTCCTCTTCCTCATCCTCAGTTTCTTCATCCTCACCACTTTCCTGCAAATGTTTAAAATCTGCTTAGTAAATTGCAATTGACCAACAATGAGCATTGCTTGTAAGATAAGGTTCAGCTTATTAATCACAAAGATCATGCAAGTATACCTTTCTCTCTGTATATTCTGCCATGGCCTTGTCAAACTCTGCTCGTTTCTCCGTCGCTATGTCATAATATTGAACCTTTTCCTAATATAAGAAGAAGAAGAAAAACAATTAATAAAGAAATGATATCAGCTATTTCTGGCCTAAATTACCATTGTTAGGGAAACTAGTAAACAGTAAAAAAAAAAAAAAAACCTTTTAAGCTTCATGACATTGGATGAGTAACAAGTAAGATAAGTTCAAAACCATGGGCATTTAGGAAAGAACAGTTCCATGGTTCAGCCAGTATCACTTGGATGTAAATCTAAAGAACCTAAGGTGGATCAGTATTTAAGTCAGTTGTGACCCACTATAATAAATGGCTTGAGTGAAAAGGAAAATTACACATACATCAAACAAGTCTACATTGGTGAAGGGTCATAGTTAACCAAAACTACAGGTCAGAACATTATGTTAAATCGACCCCAAGGTTTCAAGAGAGTCATATTTCATCAAGCAAGGAGTACAAAGGTACTTTAACATGCAACGCAACAATGTGCGGAGTGACACATATTTGATCAATCATCAAACATTTTTGGCAATATGCACTACAATATTGGGGTTTCTTAAACATAGATAACTGAATTGTTATTGGTAAATAACCTTTGCCAAGACAAAACCACCTATTATTGGTATTAACTTCACAGTCAATGATGAAATCAAGTCATCAATACAGAAATTTAGAGAGGGCAAAAACTAAACTAAACTAAAAACTTAAATGTCAACTGAAGTATACAAAGACCACAAACCTCATATGCCATTGTTTTCCACTTTTCTCCACATGCCTTTCCAATCTGAAGATGAAATGGAATGAGCAACAGATAAGAAACAAGCAAAAAGTAAAACAGATTGCTGCATGAGCTACATCTTAACTTACATCGCGCATTGACTTGACACCTGGATTTTGTTCTTGAAATTCCTTACGAAAATCCTCCCTTAAACATAAGAAAACCCAATTTAAGAAACTAAAATCTCCAGAGATTTATGGCTCTTCATATATGAGAAGGCTGCTCAGACTGAGCTTCACAAATATTGTTTTCATTGAGGCATTATAAAGTATAATAAAAAACCGACATTGTATTTGGAAATCTCCCCCTCTAAAAAATAAAGGTCTAACTGAAATTTTCTTAACTAAACACATGCATTTATAACTTGGACTTCCAAAAAGTGCATTGAATTTATCATCTATGATAACAATTCCATTAACATGGCCTCCCTGCATTCACCCACAATAACACATTGGAACATGCCCATGAATTGCATATGGTGTACTAAAGAAACTCCAGCATAGAAATGAAGACCCACTTTATTGAAACATCTGTTAACTTCCATACAAATAAACTATTGACAAATATGGTGCTGGTGCTTTCAATGGTGTCGAATACCCTACAAAACTACTGAGTTCAATTCTATATATAACATCCAAGTAGGCACCCACAATCTAAAGTCTAAAGCCCAGAACCATAATCACACCAAATGATGAATTCATATATACCCAACCAGAAACTAACACAAGCACACAATAAACATCATCATGTTGGTAATTTAAGTACCACAGACACGCATTTTGCATGGTGAAACATGTCTAATAACTATAGATGACACATGAAAAGGAACGAAATAAGGAACATACAAGAAATAGAAGAACGCAGTTGGTGGTTTCTTGGGAATCTTGGCATCAAGTTTTGCACTTTTTTTCTTCTGCTTGGTTTTGGACTTCTGTACCGAAATGGCTCTCTTCCCCTCATTGCTGCTTAACCTTGCTGACCTCCTTGTCCCTTCACTTTGTTTGACCTTCAACACCATCTGCCTAAATTTTTCAAGAACTTCTTTCAATTATCATCGACCTCTTAGGGAGAAAATGAAGCAAAAGAGCATATTCAGCCCTCAATATCACACCATGAAAACACACTAGACTCAAAAACCCTTCATGGAGTTTAGCCTCACGTGAGGACTAAACATTTAGAACAACATAAATCATAACCCTAACAAATTTATTCCCCTCCTAATCACCTCTGTTTCTTCTTTCTTTTACATAACCCAAATTTCTCAGCAAGCAGCCAGAGAGGTACATAATAACCTAATGAAACTAAAATAAACTGAAAAAAACGGAACTCTCAATGTTCAATTTCTCACTTTTAAACTGACAAAACAAACCCCCACTACCCAACTGAGCTCAACACAACTTCTTGGCTAAGCAGAAGTGAGTTCTCCTCGTTATTGAATGCACAACAACAAAACCCATTGAACAAAATAACCACACACAAAATCCTATTTCTTGCTTGAGTTTTCCTTTTCCATTTATTGAGCTACCATAAAATGCATTAAACTGTGATGAACATGTGGTGAGGAAAAAGGAAATACAGATGAAGTAGAAGGAAGAAGAAGATATTACCCAGTTGACGCTTCTGTGGGTGCGCTCGGGGAGGAAGACGAGCGAGATTGCTGAGACTTTTTAGTTTCCTTTGCCATACTCGCTCCTGTGTGGTGCTGTTCTTCTTCGCGTTGGACCTCTGGTGTCGGTTGTTGCTCACTCGGGTCTGGGTAAGTGGGTTCGAATGGGCAACTGGGCACGGTGCCACGGTCTCTGCGTTTTGTCGTCTGGAAGTTTAAACCGTGCAAAGAGGTCACACCATTTGGGCCGCGAGCCCACATGCTGATGGGACCCGTCCAGCCCAACGAGGAAAAGCCCGACTCGATCCGGCCTTAATCTATTCATATAGTTAAATATGTTTGATAAGGCCTTGGGTTCGAATCTTAAGATTTGTGTAGTGCGTGTGAGTATAGTATATTATCGTCTCTAGAGACGTCCTAAAAAAATTATATTACCAAACTTTAGGTGTAACATTTGATTAATTTAAACTTAATATCTATGAGTAAATGCGGAAATACAAGAAGTTTAAGGTGGACTCTTCCTGTATGAGCGGCATCAAGACCTTTTGGCTTTTTTGGCTTTTTTGTCAACAGATCATTTAAAAGGGGAGAAGAAAGAAAAAGAAAAAAGGAATTTTGTATTTAAAATTGTGCAAATCAAGGGTCAAATATCTTTGTTGAAGACTTGAAGCTGCAGCAGCTATTCATTTCCCACCCACAGTGACGTGGCCCCGAGGCAGCTGAAACCAAAACGCCCACTTCACACACACCGCACTTCACCCCCAAACTCTCCTCATTCCTACAAATAAAAACCAATCCAACAACACAACGCACAGCACGCAAGCCCGATATCACTCTCTCTCTCTCTCTCTCACTAACATCGTTGGCGTCGTCACCTCTCTCTCTCCTCCCATTATCTCAGTCAATTAGTCGAGCACCATGCAGGCCCTCCAATCCTCTTCCCTCAGACCCGCTCCGCTGGACCCGATTCGGAAACGGACCCCCCATTTTCCCATTGTCAGTCCCAGACCCACCAGCTCCAGGCGCGTTTCATTCATCTCCGCCTCCTCGGCCCCGGCCGTGTCCGCCCCGAAGCGCGAGAAGGACCCCAAGAAGCGGGTAGTCATCACCGGCATGGGCCTCGTGTCCGTCTTCGGCAACGACGTCAATGCTTACTACGACAAGCTACTCGCCGGAGAGAGTGGCGTGGGTCCCATCGACCGGTTCGATGCGTCTAAGTTCCCGACCCGGTTCGGGGGCCAGATCCATGGGTTCTCGTCAGAGGGGTACATTGATGGCAAGAACGATCGACGACTGGACGATTGCCTTCGGTACTCCATTGTTGCTGGGAAGAAAGCTCTAGAGGATGCTGATCTTGGTGGCGATAAGCGCTCAACGGTCATTGCTTTTTTTGATTTGCACGCGTTTAATTGTTTATGTATGCTTATGAGCTTGATGGGTTTTTGGTGGAATGTACTAAATGGGTTATCTTTGAGATTGATTTGATTTTAATTTCGTGTATATAAGTAATAGGTTCTGTTAGAAACTGTGGATCTGGGGTCCTAGTGCTTTGCTAATTGTTAGTCATGCATAGAGGAATTGTTGGCATCTTTAAAGTGTTGATTTTGTTATCTGAACTCTGTACATGACTTTCTAAAATGGTTGGTTTTGCTTTGCTTACAGCTTGATAAATCACGGGCTGGGGTGCTTGTTGGATCAGGAATGGGTGGTCTTACTGTCTTTTCTGATGGTGTCCATGCACTGATAGAGAAAGGTCACAGAAAAATAACCCCATTTTTCATTCCTTATGCTATTACAAACATGGGGTCTGCGTTGCTTGGTATTGATCT